ACGAAATGCATCCGTGAAGCGGCGTGCGTTGGCACAAACCTCGACGTCACGCGGCGCGGTGCGCTTCCATCACATCGCTCTCGGTCCTGACACGTGTGCGGCAATTTCAAGGATTTTTGTGCCAAATCCACAATCCTCTTGTGGATTTTGATGACATACGGGTCGGATGACGACGTCCAGACTGCCGTCACGTTGGCCCATTAATATCCGCGTACCGGATTGGAAACGCTAAATTGCAATTGACAAAAAAAAAAAAAACAAGTCGGATACAGGTCACATTGGGCCTGAACCGATCAGAATTGACTTTCAGTATGAATGGAGTCTTAATGTGTACGGTTCTAGATTTATATTTTTCTAAATGTCAGTCTTTGATTGTTTTGATTGGATTTCATCTTGGGACCCTCTTAAAATATTGGCCTGAGTCATATTTTATAAGCTTTCGACCAAAAAAAAGAACTGCCTTCAACCTGCTCTCACGGTGCTGGCCACCTCCTGTTAAAAGCGGTCAAATCTTCAGTCGCATCGATCATTCTGTTCTACCCATGAAATGAAGTTCGGAAATCTCATCAGTATTTGTTTGTGTGTGTGTGTGTGTGGTTTTTTTTTTTCCAATGTGTTTAATGGAGGGGAAAAAAAATGACCGAGGCCATTATTTTAAGAAGGTGGCGATATGTAGCTTTCAGACTGAGCAAGGAGGACAAAATCAGAATCATGAAGAGTCTGTAGGCAGCTGACACACTGGAACATGCCGGCACATACATACGCCACACATTCAGTCAAGCTTTCCGACTGAATTTTTTTTTTTTGATATTCACAAACAATCCTGATTGAGAGAGTCAGGTGTGCCTTTTGCAATTTGGAGCAATAAAAGTGTTGCGCCTGAAAGAGATTTGATGGCTTCAACACTTGGAACGCGTCATGCTGGGCATGAGTGACGAATCGCACTGTCAAGAGCAAGTTTTCATGCTCAACATTTTAAACTGTTTTCCATTTGCCAACTTTAAGGCTGGCCTTGGATGGAAAGCTTTTGTTTGTGCCGAAAGAGCGACAACATATCCAAATTGAGCAGTTCACATTTCACTCTTGAGTTTTGTTTCATTTTTGGGTGTGTTTCCTGGGGTGTTTTCTGTTCTGTTGAACACCTAATACAATTCTGTCCACCCCCATGTTAACTAGTTAAAAAAAAAAAAACGCTAAGTATACCAGATTTGACGATCCAAGGTATGTGTTCACATTTTCCACCCGTTGTCTTTGTTTTGTTTCCCATATCATATCAGAGCTCTACAAGACAAGGTGCTAACAATTTTTCATTGAAATAAAAAGGGGTTCTATTTTTCCTGGAGTAGTGTACTCGAGTATTTTTGTACTACTTTTCCCTCGCACTGATCGAACATCATTTGGCTGAAAAGGCTCAAGAGTGTTCGTTCACAGTTGTGTTTGAAACAGCTGTTAAGGTTTGTATCATCGCGTGTATCGTGTTACAGCAAAGCGTGACAAAATTGTGACTTTCTACTCTTCTCCCAAAGATCCGGCGTGACCGAGGGTTGAATAAGTGCTGTTCTGTTCTTAATTCCGAAGTTCGGAGGTCGACGAGCAGAATTGGAATGAAGTGACGTCACTTGTACAAAGCGGCGGCGGCCATTTTAGGTGGCCGAAGGCGAACGCTTGGTCACGAACGGGCGGGGGAGTACTTTGTACACTTTGCTGATCTTATCGACGTCTTTGATAGATTCGCGTTTTTTTCTTACGCCCCACTGTGTATCAATCGAATGACGTCGTCGTCGTAATGACCGACTCGTATCCCCCGTCTCCCCCTTTAACTTTCCGGAAGTGATGTACTTCATTTTTGATTTTTATTCTTAGCTTCATCATGCAAACAACATACAATGTGGAATGCGCGCAGACTATATCGGTGACCGTTCGACGTGCCTATGATAGGTGAGGGGTCGAGATCTTTCCTTCATATAAATTGCTGCCACAGGACCCGGAACAGGATCATAGATAATTTGCAGTCTTTCTGTCCGAATCGAATTTGGGCTTCAAAAAACGAAGGAATGTTTCGGTCGCAAACTTCACACGGTAAATCTGAAACTTTGCCAACATTAACAAAGGCTTAACAACATATAGCTCAACCTCTATTTCGTCACATTTGTACAGTCCGCATATTACACGCATCCTAAAATGTATTTTGGTTGAGTGTTCAAAGTTGGAGTGACTAAACTAATATGGGTCAAAAAGGCACAGTGCGGAAGTGGCGTGCGCGTCTCTGGGCGTTTCCGTAGTGACGTCGCTGCACCGCTTGAGCGCGCGTTTGCGTGACACGTCCTAGCTTTCCCGACGCCACTTCAAAGCGAAACGGAGAGAGGAAACGATTCCGCCAAAGGGCCGCAAAGCCAACTCGGGACCTCAGGAGCACAGGCCAGGTGAAAGACGCGCACACTATGCCCTCGGGAAACCTCGAAATATTGCACGGATGACTTGACGTTCGGTGTTTTCGAGTTAATTGTCGAAATGTTGGAATTTGTGGCCTCGCTTGCCGACCTTAGCTTGACGGGCTATTAATAACGCGCTGCGGGCGAGCGACAAACAAAACAAACAACCAAACGATGCTCGCCACGTTTCAAATACTCTTTTTTTTTGTTTGTTGCTGGGCGTTTCCGTAGTGACGTCGCTGCACCGCTTGCGCGTGCGTTTGCGTGACACGTCCGAGCTTTCCCGACGCCACTTCAAAGCGAAACGGAGATAGGAAACGATTCCGCCAAAGGGCCGCAAAGCCAACTCGGGACCTCAGGAGCACAGGCCAGGTGAAAGACGCGCACGCTATGCCCTCGGGAAACCTCGAAATATTGCACGGATGACTTGACGTTCGGTGTTTTCGAGTTAATTGTCGAAATGTTGGAATTTGGTGGCTCGGTTTGCCGACCTAGCTTGACGGGCTATTAATAACGCGCAGCGGGCGAGCGACAAACAAAACAAACAACCAAACGATGCTCGCCACGTTTCAAATACTCTTTTTTTTTGTTTGTTGTTGTTGTACGTAACACACACAGTCTTGTTCGCGAAAGCGACTCGACACGACGAGTCCAGTGTTGTGGGCGACGTTCGTGCGAGTTTTGCTCATCTATGAAGTCGACGGGCGAACCGACGCGACGCATCTGCTCTGGCTCGTTGTGTCTCGTGTGCTGCCGACGAACAATAATAATCGGCATCGACCAAGACACTCTTTTGTTAGCCAAGCGAGCAACGAAAGGAACGTTTCTCAAAGTAGGAAGTGACACGGAGCATATCAACAGACATGCAGCTGACTACCAGAAGTCACCACGTCGGGCAGTTTGAAACAAAAACCGACAACAAACGACGCGTTTACGTGTTGGGTTCCCGGACTAAAATAACACGACGTTCTATTTTGGATTGCACTTGTTGATGGCTCGTTTCTTTTGAGTAATGCCGCAGGAGTTTGGACTTCTTCCGACTCCTTTTCAAAATGGCGGCGCACATTGTTTGTGTTGATGTAGGTGACTTTGGGGCAGCGCGACTGAAGGCTCTGGCTCCCATGGTGCTCAGGCGGGCAGGAGGCACTGACAGGCGGAGGGAAGACGAGGATCTGAGGGAGCGAGTGGGGGTATGCACCTGGAGAAGGTCGGACGGGTAGGGAGGGGCCAGGTTGTGAATGGCCATATATGTATAAAGGAGCAGTTTGTAGTTGATGCGATGTTGAACAGGGAGCCAGTGAAGCTGTTGAAGAACGGGGGTGATGTGCTGCCGGGAGGATGTTTTTGTGATGATGCGAGCGGAAGCGTTTTGAACCAGCTGGATTTTATGGAGGGACTTTTGGGGTAGGCCGAAGAGGAGAGCGTTACAGTAATCAAGGCGGGATGTGACAAGACTGTGGACCAGAATGGCAGTGGTACGGGGGGTGAGGGAAGGGCGAAGTCTGGTAACGTTGCGGAGGTGGAAATAGGCAGTGCGGGTGATGGTGTTGATATGTGAGTGGAAGGTGAGCATGCTATCCAGGATGACACCCAGACTCTTGACCTGGGGGGAGGGGGACACTAAGGAGCTGTCGATGTTGATTTTGGGGTTCCTCATCCGACTTTTGAAATAAACGTGATCGTATTTCAACACTTTTTTTGTTTTCTTTTTGTAATAGCGGCCATCGTCCATGTTTTTGGATTCACGGACATGACGGCCCTTTGAAGGCAAAAATGAGTTTGAAGCCCCTGGCTTCGAACCATCACGGACGTCGCCCACAACACCGGACACACCCAAAAATGAAAGAGATCTAATACGACAAAAGCCGTGGGAATGAAATGCGAAGCGCTACATTTGGACGTGTTCTCCTTCTTTCGGCACAAACAAAACCTTTCCGCTCAAGGCCGGCCTACCGGTCGGAAAACGGTCGGAAATGTTGAGCATTAATGGACAATCCAGGTTTTGGGTCGAAGAATACAGAAAAAAACGAGAATAAAATGTCCTGTTTTTGGAGCAAGGGGTGGCAATTGAAAAATGTTTATTTGTATTGTACTTGGATTTCCCTTTTCTTTTTGTAACACCTTGGTAAGACCTTAATATCTGAGATTTCACCGAGGTATTTTCTCAAGTGCCGCCAACTTTTTTCCCCCATTCCATGACAAATGATGGCGAACGCAGTTACGGCATTCGCGATCCTTCACGATCCCTCGCCTTCAAAATCTCGACAAAAGTTCACCGGACATTTTTCGGAACCGTCGAGAGGCGTGTAATTGGTTTCTCTTTCCCCAGATCTCATCCTCTCATCGCACCATGAACGTGTTTGACCGCAACATCGACTTGGACGCTCTCTTCAAGTTCTCCCAAATGTACGTTTGCGCGTCAGACTTGCCGTCGACGGGCGCCGCGCTCCTCAGACGTGTCGGTTTGCCCCCGCAGATCCCATTCCACCCAGGTGCACCTGAAGAAGGTCTACTCCAGCTTGGCGGCGTGCATGTTCTTGGCTGCGGCCGGCGCCTACACGCATGTCGTCTTGCGCCTCTTCCAGGTACTCTGAACGGCGGCCCCTCGGTCGGCCTCGACGCGCGTTCTTGCGTGTTGCGCGCTTGACGATGATGTTGATAAGCAAATGCCCGAGCTCGGTGGCGGCGGCGGAAGACGCCGGCCGGCGGGTGGCGAGCGACATCCGACGTATGACGCCTGGCGTGCTTGTCAGGGCGGCGTGGTGTTTGCCCTGGCATCCCTGGCGATGATGGTGTGGCTGGCGGCGACGCCGCACGACGCCCGCACGGAGAAGAAGAGGCTGGCCATCCTGGCGGGATTCGCCTTCCTCAACGGTTTGCGCCCGCCGAAGGCCTCCGCTCTATCCTCCGGATAGCGAGACGAGACTCAGCCCGCCGTTTGTCCGCTCTCTCCCCTCTAGGCGTGGGTCTGGGCCCCACACTGGACTTTGTCATCGCCGTCAACCCCAGGTAAGCCCGCGTCACGCGCGCCGCCGGCGGGAATCGGCGAGCCTCCGGCTCACGTCGTCCTTTTCGAAACGCGATGGTCGCGCTCCTTGCCGATAGGTCCACGCGAAGGCGTCGTCTTCGCCGTATTCGGACTCGTTTTCATGTGAGCGCCGTCGTAGCTGCTTTGTCCGGTCCCTCCCCAACGAGAGAAGAAGAGGAAAAAACAGTCGTCGCGCCATACCTCTCGCGGATACAACTGCGCTTGCGCCCACGCCTGTGCGCCCGGCACCTTGACATATCGTGGGACACGTCATCCGCGTTCCTTAGCGACCTCACACTCGATCGAACTCCAAAAATGAGGCCAGATTTTGTATTTTTTCTTTTTGCACTTGACTTTGGCACCCGTGTTTGATGGTTCCGAGTGGTGATCCCGCCTTCAGCCGATCACGGGCAGAACGCCGGTGGAGTAGAGTATTCGCAGTCTGAGTTACACAGCAGCAACGGGGGGGGGTTGCAGCTTTGGATGATTTGTTTGTCTTGTGAAGCAGTCGCTGACCTTGTCCCCCGTTTGCGTTTAGCATCATCGTCACAGCCTTCCTGGGAACCTCGGTGATTTTCATTTGCTTCACGCTCAGCGCCCTCTATGCCAAACGCAGGAGCTACCTGTTCCTCGGAGGTAAGCCAACCTCATTTTGACGACTGGCAGCGCACGAAAGGCTCGCTTGTCCGACCCCCCCCCCCAAACCGCCAAGCATCATGGAGGGCACTCGCCCGGTCTGGATCGGGACCGTGGTCATGCGACGTTCGGGCCGCAGCGTCGTTGCGTCTGATTGCGCAACGAGGAATCTCTTGATTCCGATTCATTGGACAGAACCGTGCCTGCCATTGTTGATTACCAGCGTGTTGTGGAACAAGACGGTCAAAAGCAAAGAGCTCCCGGGACTTGGGATGTCATCACCTGTGTGTGTGTGTGTGTGTGTGTGTGTGATTTGTGACGGCCTTGCGGCGCTGGCGGGCAGGCACGCTGATGTCCGGCGTGTCCATCCTCTTCCTGATGTCGCTCGTCAACATGTGGTTTGGGTCCGTGATGCTCTTCAAGGTCAGTCGCCGCCGTCGTTCTCAACCGCGAGCTCCTGCGTCCGCCTCACCTTTCATGTTTGTGAACTTGGGCCCGCACGAGCCTCTCGGTGGCCGTTTCCGAGCTGCTTCCCGCGAGTCGGCGAGCCAGGCCAAGAGTAATGTGGCCTGGCGCGTCATTGCCTCAATGGCGACTTAAAAGGAGCCGCCGCGCGGGTTGAAGGCCCTCCCTGCGTTCCTTCCTCTTCCCACGTCTCCTTTGCTTTGCTTTTTCCCCCGCAGGCTCACATGTACCTGGGCCTGCTCCTCATGTGCGGCTTCGTCCTCTTCGACACTCAGCTCATCATTGAGAAGGCGGAGAACGGAGACAAGGACTACGTCTGGTGAGTGAGGGCGCCCCCCGCCGCCCCCCCCC